AATTTTATACATTAAAAGACAAAAGAACAGTATCAATTTGCAGACTGATACTGAGTGCCTCCCGGAAGTATATGTGACTGCAATAGAAAAGCTCTCCAAAATTTGATTCAACGTTATTTCATTTTTATTTTTATTTCCATACGGTTTGTGTTTTACATATGTTTCACACTCTTTACATACTTTTTTAACTTATTATTCCTTTACTTTTTTATTGTGAACACATGTATTTTATCTGCAACGACTTTACTTTGATCTAATTTTAATGCAACAATGCACTCATAAAAATTTTGTGCTCGGTTGCTTTCGTTTTTATCATTTTTATTATGTATATTAATTTATTGCCATAAGTATGTTATTATTACTTTTCGACCGTCGCATGTCCGCTACGTACACTCGTGTCTTTTCTTATATGTATATTATTATCTTTCGATCGTTTTTGTCAGCCTTTCCGAAATTGCTTGCGTTCGAATCTTGCTATCTCGGTTGACAACAGTTATTTGTGTGTCATGGCATTGCGATCGCCTCGTTTATCTGTTAGTGACCGCCTAAGTCCCGTTGCACCCGAGTGTGAATTTTCTATTCACGTCGTCGGCTCTAAATTTATGTGTAAGTTATTTTTATAAATTTTTTATATATCTGCGCATTCCCTCACATCGTCTCGTATATGAACCATGCCGGTCATTTACAGGCAGTAATACAAATGCATCATAACATCATGCTCTGTACAATCTGGGATTTCTCAACTTTCGACCGTGTAATCGAACAGTTGGTCATCCTAATAACTACTGTAACTGTTCTTGAAGATGAATCGTATTTGAGAGCGACATTTTGAATTTCAATGTTTGCAACATTGATTATGAATTTGAGATTCGTTCACCGTCTAAGTAGATTTATTTGTATTTTTTATCTTTTGCGCTGAAGAAGGCTGAAAGATCAGCCGAAACGTCCGCTTTATGTTATTTTGATTTTGTTATTTCGATTATGTTACATTGATTACTATTAAATTTTACGCGCTCTTAATACTGCGCCGTGCTCTCATTGTCATTATACCCCATTCTGGAAATATTAATAAAATCGAATTCCCAATGCGTGAGAAACGCACCAAGATCATTCAAGGCACCCCCGAAACTGGGAAGGGGGCAGACTAAAAAACGCCAATCAGGAGAGTGCAATCGTTAATGCACACACCAATAAGTAAATTAAAGGTGTGGAACGACGAATGAAATTTTCATAAACTAATTCTATCATTCGCCGGGAAAACCGGAAACATAAAAACAATCACGAATCATAGAACGCCGCTCCCCTCCTTTCCCTACACTCGTGAATTTCCGAACTATCATTCGAAAATTAACACAGAGATCCATTACGCCCTCAAATCCTTCGGGTGGAGTCCGTTTGACCACGTTACAATTGACCAGCCACTCATAGCGTTTGAACAGAGGAAAATCTCTAGGCAGGTTGCTGTGAATGGTTGTGGTCAATCGCAACGTGATCAAACGGGACGCTCCCGATCCTTCCCATCCTTCCAAAATTCTGTATAAACCACGATTTAAAGCGGATCTCTCTTTTTTTTTATCTTATCTTCCCGAGGACGACATCATCTGGAGTAGTTAGCGAAACCTTTTTAACAGTTAGAGTCAGTGAGCGACTAACTCTTTCGAGTGTACTTCCCGAAAATTCCAACAATTGCCACGATCCACGCGCCGATAGCGACAACAGTAAGTCGAGTTATACATTTTCTTTTCGGTTTCTTCCGCAGTTTTGTAAGTTTTGTAACCCTCTTTAAATATTTAATAAATTTGACTTGTAAAATAACCAAAGAACTAATCGAAAAACCGTGAAGCGTCTTTGGCGGGAGCCAAACAATGGACGTGAAACTTGTTAAATGAAGCTTACTAAGAATATCTCGAATCAATCAAGCGTCGGAATTTCGCCATCATCCGAGCCCAGATCACGCGCTTCTCCGGAGGAACCCCACGACTCGCGCATTTTATCCTCCGCCGCTGCGAGTCCCTACAACTCACGAAACCTCTTCTTCACCGTCGCGAGTCTCAACATCTCGTGCTCCGTCCCCTATTTTCCAAGAAATCTCTCCCTCACCTTTGAGAGCCTCAATATCTCGCGTTCCGTTGCCTACTCGTTCTGATATCCCGCCTTCACCTGCGAGTTCCACGTCAAGCGTGGAATTCATTGGAGAAACTGCGCCAGTACTACCGGTATTCTTCGAGGAACAATTCTTTGATATCGTGTCCTAGTTCCCTGCAAACCTTTCCTTCCGGAACTTTCACAATAGGCTCCGAAATCATTAATCTCACCGAACTCAGAGATTTGGTTACAACGAGACGCCCAGATGACATTCCTGTATTCGTCCCCAATGTTCCTTACCTATTTCCTAATCCCTATCCGCTATTTTTATAGTTAGATCCACAAATCTTCTTTCCTCTCTATCTCCATACACACACACACACACACACACACACACACACACACACACACACACACACACACGCACGCACAC